ATTTATTGGCTGTTTATACTTCTTCTTTTGAGAACTGTTAAGCTCATTGGTCCATTTATAGATTGAATGTTGGCATTTAGTTTTTGTGGTTCTTTATATGTTTGAGATAGCAATCCTCTGTCCGAATTTATAGAATATGTATTATGCATATAATATATCTATAGTACATATTCTGTCTCATTCTGTGGTTTTATCTTCACCCTGGTCATTGTGCTCTTTGTTATGCAGAAGTCTTAAAAGCAAATTTCGAAAGACCACATACTACATTTATATTACTTTTTAGTATTTTTCTTTTCTAAAGAGAGTCTCATGGATCCCAGGCAGAACTTGGATTCAATATGTAACTTAGGCTGGCCTTGAACTCCTGATTCCCTGTCTCAGAATCTCAAGTACTAGGATGACAAGTATGTGTTATCATGCTCAGTTTATATAAAATTTATGAAACAAAATATTATGAAGATGCAAAATAAGTTAGTGGGTATCGTTAGGAGTCAGGGACAGTGGCAGGAACTTCGGGCATGCCTATAAATGGATGGGAAAAAGGAGATCTTTGTGATGTTGAAATAGTTGTACACCTTAATTTGTGATAGGAATCTTTACATAATAAGAGGATATAGAACTATAAGTATGTATCATACCACTGTCAATTTCCTCATTTTAATATTGTACTAAAGTTACATAAAGAAAATTTGGGTGAATAATTCATGAAACCCTCTGAGCTGTCTTGACTGTTTTCTGTAAATCAATTGGTATTTCAATTTTTTAAGTTTTTAAGTTATATTAATTTTAAAAGCTATGTCAAATAAAGTGTAAGCTTTTTTGTACAACACAAAAGATACTTTATGAACTTAGTTATCAGTTTTCATTGTACTGTAGATATTCAGAAGAGCTCAAATAGTTTTTTCCTCTTTCACAATACAACTGAGGCATTTTTAAATTGGGCTAGAACAAAATATATATGTACCCCAAGTAAAACCTCAAAATGCTACACCCTACTCTCCTGCCCTGCCACTTTTAGTGTCAGGAACTGAATCTAAGGTCTTATACATGCTAACCAAGCGCTCTTTCCACTGAACCTCTGTCCCTGTTAAAAGCAATGTAAGATTTAGAGATATATTTTACATGTGGTAATAGTCACACTATTTTGTGCTCACATGCGTTAACACATGCCACACACTACCACTGAAACATTGTTACTAAAATTCCTTCCCAGGGTGAGACATAAGCAATGTCTACCCTTCTCCTAAGTTCCTGATGACAAACCAAGACACAATCCTACCAAAGTTCACTGTGGGGAACCAATGAGTTTATTGGACTTCCTTACAGAGTATAGGTAAGGGGTTACTTACAGGGGTTTGGGTGTCCCTTTCCCCAGCAGGAAAAGCCTTACCCAGCAGGGATAAGAGCTTTTCTACAGCCACATAAATGGAGCCATCATCTAGTCCTCTCCACATATTTTTTCCTCTTCCAGGCATGGACAATTAAGGTAGCATTTCATACACCAGGTAGTATGAAGCAGGATAATGGGAATCTCATGGCCGTCTCTGTCCTCCCTGCCCCTCTCTGTTGGGGTATAAACCATCAACAACCACAGCTGGGGTGGTCATTCTCAAAGGGGTGCAGCTGAATGCCCCAAGATGTCAGTTGCTTCACTCAGAGAACAGTCACTCACAGCAAACACACACTCTCAAAAAAGGACCTCCAAAATGTTCCCTAGTGCCTCTCATTGATAAATCTCACCTTCATCTCCTCTTTCTCTGTCTCCATAATTTTGTTCTTTTCTAGAATTTCCTGAGTAGGGTCATTTGAGTTTGTCTTCTTTCACTTAGCATAACACCTTTGAGAATTATCCAAGTGGCTGTGTATATTACTAGTTTATACTATTTGTGGGCGTGCTGTATTGATGCATACCCATTTGTTTATTCCTTGTCCGTATGTTTGAACTCTTGCCAGGTTTCAGCAGCTATGAAAAGAAGCTTCTGTAATTATTGAGAACTAGGGTTGTTGGACTGCTTGGCGGTTTGCTTTCCCCACCTTGATAATATAAGCAGGATGTAGTGCATGCTAGGCACCAACTACTGTCTCTAGGTGCTCCCTCATCCCCAGGTATAGGGTTTGTATGAACACAAATATTAAGAGTGAGATTTCACTGAAACATGTTAAGAGCATGATTGACTTCACAAAAAATTGTCAAGCAGAGTGTGAGATTTCCAGCTCCTATACGTCCTTCCAGTACTAGGTATTAACATTTCTTAAGTCGTCTTCTTTGTAGATGTGTAAGGGATGTCTCATTGTGATGTTTCCTACGTATTTGTTTGGTTGGTTTTGGTGTTCTGAGACAAGGTCTTACCATGTGTCCCAGACTGGCTTTAAATTCTTAATCTTTGAATTCCTACCTCAGCCTTCCAAGTTCTAGGATTACAGGTATGTGCCAGCCAATTCCTGACTCCATTGTAATTTTAGTATGCACTTATCAAATGATTAAAGATATTTATCAACTTCTTATGTGCTTAATTGATAATCAGTGTGTGTATGTGTGTGTGTGTATGATTCATGTTCAAGTCTTTTATCTGGTTAAATTGAAGTATTTGCATTCTTGTTGAGTAGTGATAATCAGCTCAGACTTCTGTGCTGGATGTATCTTTTACCAGATATATATGTTGCAATCTATTATCTGCGTTTTTGTTTTCATAACTTTTAATATTTATTTTGCATATGTGTGATGTGTGTATATATGTTTGTGTGTGAAGTTATGTAGAGGTCTCTGTCCTCACCTTCCACCTTGTTTAAGGCAGGGTCTCTCTTGTGGTTTGTGGCTATGCGGCATACTCCAAGCTAGCTGGCCCATAAGCTTCAGGGGGCTCTCCTATTCCCGTCTCTAGTATTGTAGGAGTACTAGAATTACAGGCACAAGACACGATGTCCATTTTTTAACGTGGGTTCTGGGAATTGAAGTTATCAGGCTTGTGCAGCAAATGTTTTTCCTGGCTGAGCTATGTCTCTGGACCTCATAACTATTTCTTTTTCCTTAAAGCATGGAAGTTTTAAGCTGAATGTGGCGATCCAAATCTGTAATCCCATGTTGCTAAATTTCCTTCCCTGGAAGAGGAGTAAACAATGTCTATCCCTTTTCCTAAGGTCCCACTGACAAACCAAGTCCACCGAAGTTCACCCTGGGGAACAAACCAGGGTGTTATTAGGCTTACTTCAGAGCAGTGGCTGAGGGATTCAATAGGAGCATAGGTGACCTTAAAGTGGCCACACTGAAGGCTGTACCTAGCAGGGATGATGGCTTCCTAGTGGCTGTGTAGGTAAACCCCCCTCCTTTTATCCTCTCCCACCTATGTCCTCTAGCTCCTCCCCCAAGACCAAGGGCAATCAGGGAAGAATTGTAAATAACTAGTTGGGAGAGGTGGCTAGTTTGAGACCAGCCTGGGCTCCATCAGATCTTGGTTGGTTTTTTAAGCAGGAATTTTAAGCTATGGTAAAGTCTAGAGCATCAATGTTTCACTTATGAACCATAGTTCATATGAGCATTCTATGAGACCTTTGTTTAAATAAAAATTAAAATGATTTTCTCCTATATTTTCTCCTGGAAGTTTTATACTTTTACATTTAAGTCTAAGGTCAGAGTTCCGTTGATTTTTATGTACAGTATAGCTCTTCACATTTCCGAAGCTCTCTTCTATATATGATTACATCTTATCATTATTTTATTTGAAAACACTTTGAGGGCTGAGCTAGTGCTGTGGCTGAGTGGTAGAACGCTTCCCTATCACATATGAGTCCTTGTGCTCTGTCCCCAACACTGCTAAGGGAAAGGGGGGCACTTTAAGAAAAGCACAAGAATTTTAATCCGCACCCCACAAGTGGGAAATTCGATTAGCAAAGCTTCGTGTGATTTCCCATGGTCCCACATATCATAAAGGCTGAAACAGAAATGCATGTCCAGATCCCCGGCTATCCTGGGCCAGGAGTTTAGAAGCTGGGCAGCTAGAACTCAGAACACCAGCCTAGCTAAGTGAAGACGATTTCTGAGAACAGTTACTCTTTGGCGCTGAAGGAAGAGGCCCAGCCAGGCACAGGCAGTGGAGTGGCCCTTCCCTCTGGCCCACTTGGGGTTGTTCACTTGGAAGGAGAAAGAAACCGGCCCAGCGCCTTTGCTCAGGTGACACTGGTTGAATATGCTTTTTGATGATGATGATGATGAAGTCTTGGAATGAGTTCAGAGGAGGACTCTGAAAATAATTACAGAGTTACAAAAGTAAATTAAAGCTGAAAAGAAAAGTTTAAAGGAACTAAGATTATTTAACCTAGAAGAGAGAGGCTCAAGATGAAACCCGATAACAGCTTTTAAACAAACAAAAAACTTGGGCGCTCCTTCTGAGAGCCAAGCAAGGGGAAATGGGCTGGAAGAATGTGAGTAAAAGGGCAACGTTCCTCCTTGGTGAGGGCTGTTACAGGCACGATGCCTCTGGAAATAAAATCAACTCCTTGTGAGTTTGGAGATCAGAGATTTGCCAGACGTGGGCTTCGGTGATGGGTGGCAGCATGTGGCTTCTTTGCCTGTCTCGCATAGAGTCCCTGGAAATCTTCAGATGGCCCCCGAAATCTGTTCTATATTCTAGCACAATTCCGGGAGGCATTTTTGGCTGTGATCTTCCCTGTTCCTTGATCGTGACATTTAGATTTGTATCCCAAGGACTGAAACAAGCCTGACCCAATCCTAAAGCTTACTCTAACTCTCCTCACCCCTGAATTGAAGCATTTCAATTCCTAAAAGTGCATATCTGGCCTAGCATCCCTGCCTTCTGTTGCAGAATTGACTAGTCCAAATCCAGCACCCGCACTTCAAATCTGTTTCATGTTTCATCTCTTTTTGCATACCGCTCGGAATATCAGCGTCACCTTGGAAAGGCCAAAGAAGACCTGATGTAGCAGCGGCGGCAACATTAGACATCACAGTAACACCGGTGTCTCTGTGCTCCTTTTCTCTACAGCATGGGTTGCAGCCCTCGCCATGGGCATGATCTTCTTCTGTTCTCCCATTGTGAGTATATTCACGGGCCGTTTGGGCTGCCAGATCACAGCCACCACCGGGGCTGCTGTGGCTTTCATTGTCCTCCACACCAGTTCCTTCACCAGGTAAGGCCTGGAGTTGCTGGCCACTTTTTCAAGGGTGAGAATTGGCTTCTTTCTTGGGACTTCAGCTAGAAACACTGTTCTCATTGCAGAATCCCCTGTGGTTCTGTCCATGGAGAGCCCTCAAAGACCTTGCTCCCAGGACTCAGGATCAACTGCAACTCACTTTATGTGGAATCTGAAGGATACACCTGCCAGGAATACCCACCCCCCAAAAGACGCAAAGTTCTAAAATATTGTGAGGAACCAAATCCCGGTAGTTCACAGAGCGGGTCAAGTCCTGATTTGACCACTGAATAGCTATGGAGTAATTGATGAGTATCCTTCTCCTGTCTGGACCTCACTTTCTAAATCTTTCAGAGATCATGTGGTTGCTTCAGATCTCTCCAAGCTCCCCACTAATGTGGCACACACCTCAAAACCCTGCCTTTCCTCCCAGAAGACTCCTTAAGTGAGCTAACGTGAAGCCCTAGCACTCCCAAATCAATCTTCAGCTGAAAAACAGATACTCTGAGCACACAGCTGGTTAGCATGTCTGGCCCTGTTCTGGGTGGCTCAGGCTCTGGAAAGATGGGTGGATGACACAGATAGGGACTCTCATGTCTCAGGCATGGGAAGGATGTTTAGCAACATCCTCCCACTGAAGTACAGCTCCAAACCCCAGCCACCCAGATGAAACTCAAGTCCTAAGTTCATCGGTCGCACTCATAGAACTTGTTCATGCTAGGTGAGAAGGCTCCATCCACATGGATTTCTGCCTTCTCTCCTGGCAGCCGTGCACAAGCGTGTGTACAGAGGAGGCAAGGATACAGACCCTATCCTACAGCAAGAGAAGTAGGAGATTCCCAAACAAGGTTGAGAACTTTCTGCCATACATTTCGCAAGCTGTGGTACCCCCCTACTTCCAGTCTGCCTGGGTCTATGTAAGAGCATAATGACCTGGACCCATAAACATGGCCACAATAACATGTGTGGAATGGAGAGTGAGCTAACTTGAAAGACACTTGCTTTCTGAGTATGACTCCCAAGAGAAAACCATGGCTTTCTGGACTTAAGTTTTCATCCACAGTGGAGAATGAGACTCATGTTCTGTCTCAGCTAGGCCCTATGGGGGTGAGCCAACTGTCTTAATGACTTGAGCATTTCCGGCTGCCCAGACTACCCTCCAGCAAAGCTTAGATTTGGCATGCAGTGTGGTGTGTTGGTTCCGACCCATCCAACTAGGACAAGGGAGAGGAGGAACCCATATTCTGCCTGGAACCTTCTCGGCCCTCTCAACACAACAGCTCTAAACTTTCTGAGGACCCTTCTGGTGGTCAGCCTCATTATCCCCACCCCCAGCAAGCTGGTACCAGATTCTTGTGGAGATGAGCTAGGCCTCTGAAGTATCTCTAATCTCAATGCTACATAGCAGAGGCAGAGCGCAGCAAAGTGTAAACAAATTAGCACCATAAGGATCTCATTTCCTCCGCAGCCCACATGGGCTGGGGCACGGGGTGGGGGAATGCACTTCGATGTGGTTTTTTTCTCCTGGCACTCTTATCTCAGCCCACTGGAGGAGGCATTTTTCTCTCTAGCCAATGGCCCCCTATTCTGTTCGCTCTTTCTTGTAAGAACATTTTCAGAGCCAAGAAACTCTGGATGGTTTAAAGTTCAGGGAGAACAACATGATTCTGCTTGTGGCTAGAACTTCAAGTCATTCTTCCCATCGTCTCACATCAGAGCTCTGAGTCCTTTTGGATGACTGGAACAGGGCACAGCACAGGCAGCCCTCAGGGGCCTTTAGCAGGCCCAACTCAAGGGTCTCCCATCCTGGAGGCCAGTTAGAAACACTCACCACACAGTACCCTAAACTGAATCCCATGTTTTCCCCCAAGATCCCTTTCCTCAAGACTAACTCAAGACTCTTTTGGATAAGGGCCCAGCCCAGCCAATCCTATAGGATACCTACAATCTAAGGGGAGAAGACCCCAAGACGTCTGACAGAAGAGCAGCAATCAACTGAGCTACAAGTTCAAAGTAGAGACAACCTCCTATTTAGATAACTAAACCTCCTACTCATGGCCAATGACTATGAGCAGATGGGAGGCCATAATAATGATAGTTTTCTTGGAATCAAGGGGCCACTGGTAGTGAGTATAAAAGCTGGGTCTGTGTCTGAAGAACAAGAAGAGTATTGGTTAATTTAATGGTCAGATAAGAACTATTGCAAAATATACAGAAGCATGCAAAAGAAAACAACTGTTCACTAGGTTGGGCCAGTATTATGTGAGGGTAGATGCCAGCCATACTGACCTGCCCATGCATAACCTTTCCCCTTCTCACATTTTACCTTCTGTTACAGACGCTTGTGGCAGAGCAGGGCCCATGAGTTTTAAGCAACAGCCTTTCTCAGTCGGGCCCGTAACTTGAGGCTTCACTTCTCTGTCAATCAAGCAGGCTACTTACTCGAAGGGAACTAATCCATGTTTCATGCAGCAACAGAGACAGAATTCTGAAAATTAAAGGGACTTCCTAACTCACAGTTCCTACATACATTACCTGGAGCTCGAGAAAAAAGGCTTGGGCTATCTGGACCTTGGGCAAGGATGCGGAGAAAGGAAGTTCTTCTGAGATAATTGACCAGCCTTTGAAATATTACAGGTCCTGAGAATAATGATACACCAAAGAACCTGAAAGAACAGTGCAACCTTCCAAGACCAGAATCTTGGATCCTTGCAAGTCTTTGTTGTTACTTGGTATAAAACTGGTCCCCCAGTCTACTCATAGTGTCTAGGTAGGAAGTAAGGGGAAACTATTCTTCTGAAGGCACAGACTGTCTCCTGTAGCCCCTCTTTTCTTTTTCTTTTTGTTTAATCCTCTTTTATTGGATGCTATAATCACATAGATCTGGATTAAAGTCCAATCTTTTTCTAAAAAAAAAAATAAGACAGAGTCTTGCTGTGTAGACCAGGCTGCCCTTGAACACCTGATAATCTTGTTTTAGGCTCCTGAGTGCTGGGATTACAGGTGCATGCCACCACATGTGTCCCAAGGCCAAGCTTTTTTTTAAGTGCCTGGACAAGGCACATTTTATTCTTGATCAAGAGGGTGCATTCGGAAGAGCTGGCATACATCAACAGAACATGCACTTGTTTTTCAGTCTAACTATGTCTTTTCCCCATTGGCTGGGGTCTGGTCTCACAGTCTTACTCAGTTGGCTAGTCTTAAAAACTGCAGTGGTTTAAAAAACTGCATCTTTAATCCCAACACTTGGGAGGCAGAGGAAGGCAGATCTCTCAGTTCAAGGCCAGATTGGTCTAGAGAATGAGTTCTAGGACAGCCAAGACTACGCAGAGAAACTCTGTCTTTAAAAAAAGAAGAAAGAAAAAAAGAATAGAACACCAAGAACTTTTTTTAATCTAGAGTTACTTTAGGTAAATTCCCTCTCAGGACCTCTGAATCCCCATCTGCAAAGTGGAGTTCAGAGGTTCTCTATCTGCTCTGCAGATTAATGGCAAGTAGGACTGTGGGAAAAGCTGGAGGAATGCCAAGGACACGAGAGGGAGGCAGATAAATTGCTACCAGGCTACTGAGGATAGCTCTTGCTGTTTCTCCCACAGCTCCCTAAGCCTGCGCTACTTCACCTACGGGATTCTCTTTGGTTGTGGCTGCTCCTTCGCCTTTCAACCATCACTCGTCATCCTGGGCCACTACTTTCAATGTCGCCTGGGTCTAGCCAATGGCGTGGTGTCTGCAGGAAGTAGCATCTTCTCCATGTCATTCCTGTTACTCATAAAAATGCTGGGGGATAAAATCAAGCTGGCCCAAACCTTCCAGGTGCTCAGCACCTTCATGTTTCTCCTTACACTGCTCTCACTAACCTACCGACCCCTCCTGCCCAGCTCCCAGGACACCCCCAGCAAGAGAGGTGCCCACACCCTGCGACAGCGCTTTGTGGCTCAGTTCAGGAAGTACTTCAACATGCGTGTGTTCCGCCAACGCACCTACCGCATCTGGGCCTTTGGGATCGCTGCTGCCGCTCTTGGTTACTTCGTCCCCTATGTACACCTGGTGAGGAGGAAGCTGACCTCAACTTATATGAAGGCCAAAGGGTGGGGGTAGAGGACATTGGAAGGGCAGAGCTTTGGGGAGGGGGGAGACAGAGCCAAGCATGGTTAGCTCAGGCCTGTAGACTCAGCAATTGGGAGACTGAGGTAGGGAGATTGCTGTGAGTTTGATGCCAGCCTAGGCTACATACACAGCAAGACACTTTCTCAAAACAAATAAACAGAAAGGGAACAAAGACTAAAGAAACAAAACAGTAGTTGGCGATTGGCAGAGAAGTAAAGAGCACGGTTCAAAGAGAGCCTCAGTGGGAAATGAGGGTAGTTCCTTAAGGGCAAGGCCCATGATCCATAGCTTCTCCCATGATAACAGTTCAGAGGGAAACCAGGCCTGATGGTACAGGCCTGAAATCCCAACTATGCAGGAGGCTGGCAAGTTCCAGGCCTGTCTGCACTACAGTATGAATTCAATCCATTCTGAGAAATTATCAACAGTGTGTCTCGAAATTTTTTTTTTAAAGAAAAGGCTAAAAGAGGGCTAGGGCAGCAAATAAATCAGTGATGGAGTGTTCGCCTAGCATGCACGGGGTCCTAGTTTCATCCCTAGTACTGAAAACAAAATGTTTAATTGGAGAGATGGGTTTAGGAGGCTAAGCATCACTGAAAGAGTGGCTCAAATGACCCAAGACGTGCTTTGTAAAGACTGTTCTGAGAAATTCTGCTGTCTGTGGTCAAGTGATTCTGTTCAGGAGAAAGCATGTATGGGAACTCTCTAGATCCATAGTATGTAAGTAATCTCTTAGTGACAAATCCTGCAATTTAAAAGCCCATTCAGCTGTTTAACCAGCACCTACCAAACTTACTTGGCCACAGAACTGCTGGTTGTAGAGAAGTTGTTATTCTACAGACTATGAGGTTTTGTGTGTCCATGCATGCGCACTAAGGATGGACCACAGGCCCTTGTCCCTACTAAGCATGTGATCTACTACAGAGCTATATCCCTACCCTGTAGACCCTATGTTTTGCAAAGCACTTTTTTTTTTTTTTTTTTTTTTTTTTTTTTTTTTTTTTTGCTTTTTCGAGACAGGGTTTCTCTGTGGCTTTGGAGCCTGTCCTGGAACTAGCTCTGTAGACCAGGCTGGTCTCAAACTCACAGAGATCCGCCTGCCTCTCCCTCCCAAGTGCTGGGATTAAAGGCGTGCGCCACCATCGCCCGGCTGTAAAGCACATTTTTAAAGAGTTGCCTAAGGTAATGGACCTCATCTTCTAGTGACCTGATATTTCGGCCTGTCAGTTTGAAGTCATTGTATGGAGACAGTATAGAAGAACACCTAGGTTTTCTAGGTAGTTTGTCTTGGCAGGGCTTAGAAGGCTTGGAAGTGCCTAGCCCTGTCAACTGTTTCTCAAAAGTTCAAATTCCAGAGACTCTAGGATAAGTAGCCTTTGTGATTGCTAGAAGTAGCCAGGGGGCTTTTCCAGGAGCTGGGAGGTACTACTCCAATAGGAGACTCCTGTCCTGGTCCAGGGAAGGGAGTAGTAGAAAACCCTGGATACTTCTGCATTTAACCAGTCAGTTCCTCTTTCTCCTCCTGTTCTGGGAATCCTGGTGTTATTCTTTTCAGACGAAATATGTGGAAGATGAGTTCAAGGAAATCAAGGAGACCTGGGTGCTCTTGGTGTGTATTGGGGCTACCTCAGGCCTCGGACGTCTTGTGTCAGGCCACATCAGTGACTCCATTCCTGGACTGAAGAAGATATACCTGCAGGTGAGTAGTCACTTGTGCACAGTCTACCACAGGTTACCCCTCGGCTCTGCAACAGGCTGTAAGGTGAGCCACTGCAGTTTTCTGGGCCCCAACGTTGCACATGAGAGATACTTAAATTCTCTGTGACTTGGTTTCCCCTGTTCCTCCTTCACTAAAATGGAGTCAAGATTCCATGAGAGTTTGTGTGTATGGAACCTTGCAAACATTTGACAGGTAGTTTTATATTAATAAGAGCCCAACAAATGAAAATGGAAAACTCAGACCACGAGTTAGATGTGTCCCCCAAGCAAGATTTGTTCATGGGTTCCTTATACTATGTTGAAATCTGAAACACTCTCCAGCCCAGTGCCTCTCTCTTCCAGGCCCAGGTCCACCACCTCGCACATTTCCAGAGCTACCTTGTTAGCATCAGGCACTAGCTCTGAAATGCCAGCCCTGGCAGAGACAGGCAGATCTCTGTGTGTTCAAGACCAGTTTGATCTACATAGCAAGTCCCTGGACAGCCAGAGCTATGTCGAGATACCCTTTTTCTTTTTCTTTTTTTTTATATTTATTTATTTATTTATTTATTATGTATACAATATTCTGTCTGTATGCCTGAAGGCCAGAAGAGGGCGCCAGACCTCTTTACAGATGGTTGTGAGCCACAATGTGGTTGCTGGGAATTGAACTCAGGACCTTTGGAAGAGCAGGCAATGCTCTTAACCACTGAGCCATCTCTCCAGCCCCCCGAGATACCCTTTTTCAAACAAACAAACTTGAAATTCCATCCTACTGATGGACACCAAAATCATGCCAGAAAAAGCCAAACCTCATTCCTTCTCTCTAGCCCTCACTGTCCTATTTGTGCAGCAAGAATAATTGTCCCCCTTCCTAACTTAGCATAAAAGCAAGCATCAAAACAAATAGAGAGATGGTCCAGTTTAGTCCTCTGACAGTGATACAGGTTTCCTCCCACTGTGGGCAGTGACCGCCCAGGTATTCTAGTGACGTCTTTTTCTGTGACCTGGGTTCTGTCTGGTTTGAATATAGGCAGTTTTTTGTCTCTCTAACAGCAGTAGTACCCTTCCTGGCCTGGCTCATGGTTCTGATCCTGAAATCAAGCTTGCCAGGAGATGCCAGATTGTAAAGGCCTGTAAAAGACCAAAAGCAGCCACAGAACACAAACAGTCACAAATTACGCACCAGGAAGAGGTTGAGTTTGAACTCCCTTCTCTCCTGGGAAAACCCTAAAATTACTTCTGTGAGGCCCTGACTAATTGTAGTGGGAATTCCATGGTCATTGGCAGTGCCAAATTAGTTCCTAAATGCCGTCAGGTGTCATAGATAGGGATATGATTCATCTTTCTGTGGAATTTGATTCTTCTGGTTGCAATAGCTGGTGACTGCTTCCCCAGAGTTATGGGTCCCCTTGTAGCCCACCCAGGCCAATCTAGCATCACACTGCAAGAGAAACTGAGGGACCAGCGTCTTCCACAGAAATGGCAGACCTGTGCTCCTGCACAGCGTGCTTCTCATATCCTATTGTCCTAGTTGGCTTTCTACGGATAAGGTAAACACCATACAGAAGCAAACACCATATATAACCAAAACCAACTTGGGGAGGAAAGGGTTTATTTTATTCTACATCTTACATATTCCATCATGACCAGAAGTCAGGGCAGGAACTTGGAGGCAGGAACGGAAACAGAGGCCATGAAAGAATGCTTGCTTGCTAACTGGCTTGCTCAGCCTGCTTTATTATAGAACCAAGAACCATCTGCCCAGATATGACACTACACACAGTGACCTGGACCCTTCTACATCAATCATCAATGAATAAAGTGTCTCATAGTCAGCAGGGTAGAGTTGGCGCACGCCTTTAATCCCAGCACTCAGAAGGCAGAGGCAGGTGGGTCTCTGAGTTTGAGGCCAGCCTGGTCTACAGAGCGAGTTCCAGGACAACCAGAGCTGTTACACAGAGAAACCCTGTCTTAAACAGCCCTCCCAAAGAAATGTCCCATGGTCTTGCCTAAAAGCCAATCTGATGGGAACATTTTCTCAATTGAGGTTCCCTCTTCTTTAGATAACCCTAGCTTGTGTCAAGTTGATAAAAAAAATAAAAATAAAAACACCTAACTAGCATACCTGTATTTCTCTAAATTATGGATAGCAGGCCCAAGTCTGAGAGATACGTGAACTGGCCAAGGTCAAACCAAGGGTTTATGACTAGGATAAAGAAATTATGAAATGTTTAATTCTGGTGCAAATATCAGCAAGTCCTTTATCGGAGTGGCTTTTTGGATAGGAGAATATGTGCGCTTCCAGCCCCTTTTACATGTCCCCCACCATGGGCCCTCCCTGCCAGTGTTAGCAGCTTCAAGATGCCAGAGAGAGAAGAAAATAAGGCAAGCTGGCACTGAGCCAGAACGTTCTTCTTCACTGAGGCAGCAGCCCCTGCCTGGTACTGTACCTCACAGGCTTCTCTCAGCACGGTTCCCAGCAGATAGCCAAGGCCTAGATTGCTTTTGCTTTCTCTTGTGCAGTTAGAGCTCCAAGGGACAAGGAGGCACAGCTAGTTAAAGGCTGAGCTAGGTAGAATCCGGGACTTCTGTTGTCTTCCCCCATTTTCCTTTCTCATACTTGACCCAGTTTCACCACTTAGAATAATATAAAATAACGTTAGAACGTAGCTGAGAAATCATCATCACCATATAGCCTAACTCCCTCGTGTTATGAATTTTGAGAGTGTGGGCCTGGGTGTGCTTCAGACAGTAAACTGGTTTCCTTGTAAGTATAGGTGCCTGAATTTGATCATCTGACCCCATGGGTCTGTTGTTGTTTTGTTTTTGTTTTTGTTTTATTTTTTTTATTGATTTTATTGAGCTCTACATTTTTCTCTGCTCCCCTTCCTTCCTCTCCCCTCCCCTTCAACCTTCTCCCAAGGTCCCCATGCTCCCAATTTACTCAGGAGATCTTGTCTTTTTTTACTTCCCATGTAGATTAGATCTATGTATGTCTCTCTTAGGATCCTCATTGTTGTCCAGGTTCTCTGGGATTGTGGTTTGTAGGCTGGTTTTTCTTTGCTTTATGTTTAAAAACCACTTATGAGTGAGTACATGTGATACTTGTCTTTCTGGGCAGACCCCACGTTTTTAAAAGCTTTACAATAACAAAAGAGGGGACAGCAAGATGGCTCAGTGCGTAGAGGTGTTTGCCACACAAGCCTCACGACCTGAGTTCAATTCTCAGTTCTCAGAGTCAACATAAAGGTGGAAGGAGAGAATCCACACTACAAAGTTGTCCTCTGACCTCCACATGTACACTGTCTCTCTCTCACACACACACTCACACACACGGTTGTGCTCTCTTGGAATCCCCAGGGAGGGAAGGATAAGAGGGTCTCTGGAGCCTGATAGCGAGCTATTGTAGCTTAATTGTTGATCTTCAGGCCAGTGAGGGACTCTTTCTCCAAAGAGGTAAACAGTCTTCCTGAGTGAAGCTGACACCTGGAGTTTTCCTCTGGCCTCCACACATGTGTTTACACATGCGCATGCATCTGGATCCACAAATGTACACACACACTTCTTCAAAAAGAAAACTGAGCATTTTAGGACCAAAGCACAAGACAATGAATGAGCTTCTTTCTTTTAAGTTTTTTGGATTTTGGTTTTTCAAGGCAGGACTTCTCTGTGTAATAGCTCTAGCTGTTCTGGAATTCACTCTGTAGACCGGGCTGGCCTCTAACCCTCAGAGATCCTCCTGCCTCTGCCTCCCAAGTGCTGGGATTAAAGGTGTGCGCCACTGGCTTCTTTTCAGTTTTTCAAGATGCTCCATCTCGGGAACTGGTGACCTCCTTTGCTCTCAGTGTCAGCTGCAGAAATTAGGCATGGGTAAGGAGAGGAGGGCATGAGGCTTCAGATTCTCAAGAGCCACTCACCCTGTAGACCCTGTGGTTCCCTAAAGTTGGTAAAACCAACAGCCATGCCAGGTATCTAGCCCCCGAATGACTATTAGAATGTCTGTTAGAAAGGAAATAGAAACAGCATGCCAAATGACCTCATTGGAGACCATTTTTGAAGCCTGTGCTCCAGTTTGAGGAGGGATTATAAATTTCCAAGCCTTGACTAGGCCTCATGGAGGATAAGAGAGAGCTAGATACAACAGTTAGCAATTTCAGCTGATGAAGATCAGCTAATGGGCTCCTTTGTCGTATATAATAATACTAACTCTTAACTGCCATGATCAGCTCAATTGCTAGGGGGGTTTGATTTTAGCTCATGGTTGCATGTGATGTTCCTACAGGAGAAGCTGGGGTGGCTCAGTTCTTATTACTAACTTCTATGTAACTACCTCAAAATGGCATGAACCAAGTTCAAAGTCTCCCAATAAAAACATTCTAAGATGCCATTATCTTTTCCAGAAATCGGCTCCTAACCTAACAAAGCCATTGTCAGCAACAACACAGAAAAGCTGGAGGGCATAAAACAGATTTGACATGTGTTTCTTCTATGTGTCCCTGGGTTTGTTTCCCTGCCTATTGGTCAATTGTAGGCTTTTGGAAAATCTGCGGGCATCTTAAAGTCTTAGTAAACAGATCAGGTCTTAGATCTGGCCCTGAGATGACCTCACTCAACCAGCTGCAGTGGGCTGGGAATGGGGTCTCCTCTCTATGCCCACAGTCCCAGGCTTCAAAAGTCTGGCTCACAGACACAGATTGCAAACGGCCTTAATTAAAAACCAGAGAGAGGATGGGGGTTCCAGAAGAAAAAAATAAAACCTAGTCTCTAGAAAGACGGGTTCTTCCGTTTGGAGTCATTTTGCTCAGCCTGAAGAAATCACAGTGACTAGTCAGTGCTCCTGGACTGCTTTTGGGTGCTGCAGATACCTTTATGTTGGCTTAGCACCCTTGCACAGCCTCTCTGTTGCCTTCTCAAGAGTATCTTGCCCGGTTCAAAGGTTCTCAAAGCCACGATGTCTGAAATATCTGAGAGAGAGGATGTGGCCCATATTCTAAAGCATAAGAAAACCCGAGAGAACCTCCCCATGGCATCTCTCAGGCCCAGGTTTTTCCTAAATTCTACCCCAACAAAGATGGACACTGGCTCCTTGTTCATTTTTAAAAAACTGCACTTTGCATTGAACCCCCTGTGTAATCATCAGCAGGCCTTCCTTGCCTCTTCCCTTCCTCCTCCCAAGCCTTACTTGATCTTTAAACACCAACATAGCTTGATCCCAAATCCTGTCTCAGGATCAGAAAACAGAAATAGTGATTCCTCCCTTGGCTCAGGATCCATTGCAAAGGCCAACTTCTTTGGCTATGGGCAAGGCAAACTCTCACAAGGTTTTTTGTTTTGTTTTGTTTTTTTAATCCTGTTAGATTCAACTACACAGGGGCTCTCTTAAAGGCCAAACCCCTCAGGGAAGGAAAGAATTAGACAGGGCTTCAGTACATAGTAAACATACTCCAACTGCTCTCTCTGCTGACACTCCACGCAGTCCCGTTTTCAGATGATGGCAACAAAGATCTCAGCAAAGAAATGTGATTTCGGGTTCTTGTTTCTCTAGGTCCTCTCATTCCTGCTCCTGGGCCTGATGTCTATGATGATTCCTCTGTGCTGGGACTTCTGGGGCCTTATCGTTGTCTGCCTCTTCCTGGGTCTATGTGATGGCTTCTTCATCACCATCATGGCTCCGATTGCATTTGAGCTGGTGGGACCAATGCAGGCTTCACAGGCCATTGGCTACCTCCTGGGCATGATGGCCCTGCCAATGATCGCTGGGCCTCCCATTGCAGGTGAGGCTGATCTCTGAGGAAGGTGTGAGTCCTGTTTTCGAAGGGGAGGGCCTAGATCTTTGGAGCCCCTCTGCTTGAGACCTCTGCCCCTCCCCCCAATTTTCTGTATAAACACCCTTGTCAGAGTGCATGAAACCCCTGATGGAAGAGATTAACCGTACAAGGGCATAGGTTGTCCAGGGCTATCGGTTTCACTCGCATTTCACTGGAGACAGCGAGTCTCCTAGAGAGTAGAGGGAAAAGTAAAGTTAGCCTGCTTGATCACTGTGCAGCCTAGAGTGACCTGGTAGACGAAGCTGGCCTCCAACTCTTCCTCTTCATGATTCAGCCATCCAAGTTGTAATACTTTTTTAGGTATGCACATCACACTGACTTTGGTCCAAGTTTCTCTTTACTCTCTCCACAGCGGCGTGATTAATTTCAAGGCAATTGAGTAAAGGAAGAGGTAAAAGAGAAAGCTGGCCCTGGTTTTACTAAAACTATAGACACCCTCCCCTTCCTGCTCTTCCTCTACTGGCTTTGGAACTGAACCCATAGTGAAGATTTAATGAAGGAAATAGTCCAGGACTGGCCAAATGCTGGTGTTGACATCTCAGTGTGCAAATTTCTCCCTCCACCCCCTTCCCAAAAGAGCATAGTGAGTACTAACGGGACACACGAAACCAAAAAAAACAGTGAAGAGAGAACTCCGTCTCCTTTCCAGGGAGTTACTGCAGACGTCAGCTTGTTTGGTCACTTCCCCTAAGCTTGTTAGATGAGCTAATTCAAAAGAATCCTCCTGACTACTGAGAACTCAAGAACAATCGCAGTGGGTTTTTGATCCTACCGCACATACTGGCTTTGGGGGAGCCTAGGCAGTTTGGATGCTCACCTAAGAGACCTGGATGGAGGTGGGCGGTCCTTGGACTTCCCACAGGTCAGGGAACCCTGATTGCTCTTCCAGCGGATGAGGGAGAGGGACTTGATCAGGGGAGGGGGAGGGAAATGGGAGGCGGTGGCGGGGAGGAGGCAGAAATCCTTAATAAATAAATAAATTTAAAAAAAATAAAAATAATAAGTAATATTTAAAAAAAAAGAATCCTCCCGTAACAGCATTTTATGCATGAGGCATTGTGAGAGGTCTGTGCGACCGTGGCAAATCTTCCCTCAAAGCTCTTGTGCAGTGGGAACACTGTCCTGCCTACCAGGAAAAGAGCCTCTACTCATCCAAAGAGTGCCAGGGGAGTCATAATTCTGTCCACTTGGCTTATTTCCTGAGCAAACAAAGGGACAAGGATCTTCTCACCTTTCTTAGGTAGTATTTCTGGACTCATCTTTACAGTGCGGTCCCTCCTTTAGCTTCCAACGTAAGCTTTTCAAATCAAACACACCCCATAGTATTGGCAGCCTGAAGAACCCAAAGGACTTGTGCATAGAGGAGCCAGAAGAAGATACACACATTCAGCTCAGCTTCCGCCTAGGGCAACTGGAACTTCAGGGAAAAGGACAACAAGAAGGCTAGAAAGTGCTTGCCATGCGAGCCTCCTGATCTAAGTGTTACCCCTGAAATATATGTAAAAGTGGAAGGAGAGACAACTCCTCCTACTTCTGCGTGATCACCGTGTAATGCATGTGCCCACACACACATCATACACAGGCAGGAATAATAAATAAATGTAAAATAAAATAGGAATTCAGCTGAATTGCTGCACAAGAACAATATGAGGGTAGGAAGGAGGGGGGTTGGGGACTTCCACTATGAACCATTCTCTTCAGTCTTTTGAACTCAATTCCTTTGTAACTCTAGCCCTAGGAGTGACTGAAAGGTGGCTAGTAGCTTAATGAAAGACAACCACAGAAACTTTAAAAGAAGCTTCATTAGCATCTTTGCTGATGAATATTCACCTCAGGGGCATTTAGCCTTGAAGTTGAGGGAGCTCCTGAATCAGGGCAGCACAGTCCAACACTCTTGATTGGCACTGGGCTGGCCCTAGAAGAGGAGAGAGAGAGCATTTCTGGGTTGCAGGGAAAAGCTAAACTAAGCTCATGTCTCTTGACCCTTTCAGGCCTCCTTCGAAACTGCTTTGGTGACTACCATGTGGCCTTCTACTTTGCGGGTGTGCCCCCCATCATTGGGGCTGTAATCCTCTTCTTCGTCCCTCTGATGCATCAAAAGATGTTCAAGAAAGAGCAGAGAGATTCCAGCAAGGATAAGATGTTGTCCCACGATCCGGACCCCAACGGAGAACTGCTGCCAGGCTCCCCCGCTCCTGAAGAGCCCATTTAATCCCTCTGGCTTGCCATCATGTGCTCCTCCCCCACCCCACCCCTCCATCCCACCCTGCTCAGCATTTACATTTTTGCCACCAGCACACTTGTTCCTAAACCTGTGCACACAGCATTTCAGCCACCTGACCATCTCCTCTGAGCCAATGCTCTCAGTGTTCCAAACTCATTAAGCAAATTCTCCCCCATGAATGCCTTGAAACTTGCCAGGCCCTTCTCCCAGGATCTGGGAAAATGTGGGATCACCCCCTGGCCTTTGGATCCTCTCCATACACTTTCTAGCCCCTGGGGGGGGGGAGAGGAGGAGGAGGAGGAGGAAGAGGGAACCTCTGGCCCCAGCTTGTTAGTTACCCACTACAATCAACTGCCAAAGGTGCTACTGTGTCCCCAGAACCCAGTGGGAGGGACCCAAGCCTCTGCTGAGGGATTTGTTGCCATCCATTCTTGGGAGCCATTTGGGGGTTATGGGAAGGAAAGCTGAAAGAGACAAGGACCTTGCTTTGCACCAGCGTTCCTAAGGGCTCTGCGGCACCCCATGGTATGGTTGGTTAACCATCTGATTCCCTTTTCCCTTCCTTCTGTTTTCTCTCTACTGCCTCCTCTCTACTTTCTTCCCCTCTATTTCTTATTACTGTCATAGCCACATAGGTGCTTGAAGAAAGGAGGGACCCAGAGCTTGGGCCAATCAGCTTCATTTCGGCCCAGACCATCCCTAACCCTAGCATTAATCCTGCTCATCTCAGGCAGAGCTACATCTCACTTTGGGGCTCAAACTGATACAATCATAGACTGGAAGAGCAGGCTATCACATAGGGAAGGGATCTTAAACACTACGGAGTTCCACGTACCACTCACTGACTCTGACAAATCAACCAAGAGACCTTCCCAGTGTCCCATCCTTGTAGCCACCTGTCAAATGTGAAGAAACTCCTTTCATCTCATCAGACACAGGGGGAATGATGACAGCACGCTGGCATGATGGGGGAGGGGCGTTGCTGTGGTTACCAACTTGTTGAAGAACCAACTCCTCCATCTCTCACTTTTCATAACAGATCAATCTTCTCACCTGGGCCAGGCCGCGAACTGAACTGACTTAGGAACAAAGAAAACCTTGCTGTGTTCCTAGAGCCCCAAAAGACATAAGCAACAAATGCACGTAGGGTCGGACAATTTCTTTTAGGAGGGGGAAGCTACCTTAGCCTTTATCACCCAGTCTGTCCCCCATTCTGGGCATCCTGGGCCACTCTGCTGAGTGAGCATTACAGGTGCCGGAGAAAGTAGGCTCTGGACCACCATATCCCTTTGAAGTTGGTGCCAGATACTTCCCTATAGCCAGGCTCTGGGTAACAGTCTTACTGAAGAGCATTCCAAGTGCCCCTAGCCAGAGGCAAAGGGCACTGTCAGCCTTGTCCGGTTGCACAGCTCACCTCATTAGGAACTCAGCATCTCTCCTCCCTGTCTTTGGGTGTCTCTCTCTCCTCTCTAGGCCTTTGTTTATTGTGTTCCTGTACCCAACCTTTCATCATCTTTTGCCAGGCATCCCTGGCTGTTACTTGGACCCAACGATAACTTGCCACCCCAAGCCAGGGTCATCCCAAGGCCAGGAGGATGAGGTTGCTCTGAGGGGCTCCAAAGAATACAATGGTCCCCACACATGAGATTTTCCGTTACTAACAGGCAGCTGGGGCATAGTTGGCCTCTGATGTTTCATTCAAGGCCAAAGTCCTGAGCCCCCCTCCGCTGGTCCCTGTCCAGCTCTTATCAACTCCCCAAAGGAAAACTTATTGGTTCTTGGCTCTGAGGACAGGAAGGGGTGGAGTTACTGTCCAGTCAGCTCAAGCATCTGTGGAACAGGAGAAGCTGGGCCCCAGGAGCCCTGTGACTCCCATGAGAGGTCATTGAAAATACTGGAGCAACAGTGCCTCTGCTTCCATTCCTCCTTGCCCCACCCCCTCCAGGCCACTTTGAGGGCAGGGGAATGAGTGTGCAGGGCCTCCTTTGTTGCTCCTGGCCCGGATGGCTCTTAAGAGTCAGGCTGTCACTCACTTCTCTCCAGATGAAGGAAAGACATTCACAGGTCCCAGATCTGCCCATTCATGTGTCACCTAACATTGGCAGGGTGTCAATTTACTTTTTTCACGCATGTGTGTGTGCACGTGTGGACTTGTGTGCTTTCCGAGAGACTGTTGTTTGGCTCAAGCATCACAGTATTAATATTTAGAGCAGGAAGCAGCCTCTTAGGCACCACAGTTAAAACTAAAAGAATGAACAAAATTTCAGAGCTTGAGATCTGGGACATTTAAATCCTCAAGGGGTTTGGAACAAAATAAACAGATCTAAACGTTTGGTTTGAGTACGTATGCTGCCTACAAGGGCGTCATAGTTTTAACCTGCTTAACAGCAGGAGATTTGGCTTCACAATTGAAGTCTCATTCCAAACAGTATTTCTGCCTGGTTCTCTGCACTCAGGGAAAACTGACCGGTGGGAGAGAGAAGCTGGGAGAAAACTGTTTCCAGTTGAAATGTTTCATGGTACTCTTTAATGGGGAAAGTGGTTACTTCACAAAACGAGAACATAATTACTGAGTTGGAATGGAGGTCCTGTCAGGGCTGGGCCACCACCTCGATAGAAAAGTGCAAGGCCGTAAATCCGCAAATACACTGAACCTCCATCTGTCTCCCTTTATTTTATTGCAGAGGTACTTAAAGAGGTTACTGTAGCTCAGTTACACTAGGCCACAGTCACAACATCTGGAATGGAAAGTGACAGATGAGAGACAAGATTGTAAAGCTAAGAGCAAACTTAGTCTTCCTCCATTTTACCTTGATTTTAAATTGGGAAAGTGAGGCCTAGCGCTAGGAAAGGGGTTCTTCATCAGGGACAGAAAAAGCTGAGAGCATGCCTACCTCCTTCGCTGTGTGACAAGCTCCTTTCTAAAGCACTGGCAACAGACTAGCTCAGAGCAAAACTAAAAGTTGAGTAAAATTTCCCTTTCAGCATACCCCATCCCTTCAGCATCATCCTTGCTCCCATCCAACACACAGCCCTAGTATTGGCTCGCCCTCCCAGCCACCTTTATGCAGCCAAACGTCCTTCCACTCCCAACAACCCAAGAGGTACTAAGAGGATCTAGCTCCTTTTGTCCCTATACTGGACAGAGCAGGAACAAAGAGCAGGAATTGGTTTCCTTTGAGAGAAGATGGTTTACCACCCAGCGCTTGGCCTTACCACCCAGCGCTGTTGCTTCTCCCTGCTCAGTACAGATGCCCTTGGGCTGCTGGCCTCCTCACCTCCTCCCACTAAGGCTAATTACTCTGTCCCGATGCCAGGCCCCAAGCTTTCTCACCCAAGATCTTCTGCCCCCTCAGTGCCTCCTCCAGACCCCCCCAGGGCTCAGTCTGTGTTTGATCACTAAGGATCATTAGATTTCAAAGCTGTAGAATCCTATAATTTTTTTATGAGCATATGCTCTCCCCCAGGGCCTTTTCATGTCTGAAAAGGCAGCCAGCAGCTCCCTACCACTTCTCCACAGAAACAGAGCAGGCCAGCTGACGGGATTACAAATCCCCAGCTTCTGACAGCTGGTACCAGGAGAGGGTGGGTGCTACTTAGAACAAGAAGCTTGAAGCAAGTTGTGAAACTCTAATAAACTGAAACGTAGCAAAGACCCCAGAAAAACAAAACGAGGGGGCAGGGGGTCGGATACCTACTTCCCCTAAGAACTGAAGAGGCTGTATTTCAAAGGCCTTGAGACGCTTGCCTTTCAGCTCTCTCTAGTGGTCACCAGACACACAACTCCACGCCTGGTTTTTCTGGTCATATCAGTATCAGCAATGTTTCCTAGGGACCTGCTGTGTGTCTGGCACGCTGCAGAGCCCAAGAACTTAAGGTATGAAAGGAACAGAATTGAACACAATGATTAAGATGCAAGGAATTTGTACTATCTTCCTCGCAAAATATCGTTTCCTCCTCTGGGCCTAAGTGACCTGTTGCATACCAACCTCGGCTCCAACTTAGGTCCTCTTGGGAACAGGACAGGGACCACCACGCCCCCACCGGGACCGAGACTCCCACGCCCTCCCCTTCTGCTCCCCACCCCAGGCCTCCCTGGCTGTTCGCCCGGAAGAACTACCCGCGCCTTAGCGTCGGTTTCCTGCTGAGCCCCAGTCGGATAAAATTAGCCCTCTGCTCTCATCCTAAAGTGTCAGAGCCACGTACAGCGGGGGTGGGGGGGGGGAGGAGTCGAGCGGGAAGCTGGCTGCTAGGCGCCCTCCCCGCTGCCCACCCGCAGCACCTGTCGCGCGCGGGTGCTCTCGTGCCGCCGCCTCCCTGCTGCCCGGATGCTGCCCCAGATCAGAGACTGTAGAACCGCGGGGCGACTCTCGCCCTCCCCTCCTTTCCCACCACACGCACCCCTTCGGTCCCTGCAGTGACCGGGCGCATAAACCCGGGACTGCACGTCGCTCTGTGACATTGCCCCTGAGTCCCGCACTCTGGGATCACCTGGGGGTGCAGGCAGCGCTCGGCTGCGGCCAGGGCTGAGTCCTGGTCACGCCCCCCCCCCACACACACACACGTGGAGGGGGCGGGGACAGGTGTCCTGGCTGCTTGGCGGGCCTGGATCCTTTCCCCAGTCTGGGAAGGATGACAACCCTTTAGCCGTGCCAGGGAACGAAACGGCCGCATCTGCTCCCGCTCCTGTGGAAGAGAGACCGGGAGCAGCCTCGCACTCGTCCAGCTGTGCCCCAGCCCGATGGACACACTACAGCTGCCATTGCTCCTAGTTCAGCTACACCAAGATGCCCTGTATCCTCCACCCAGAGATGCCAATGCCCCTGCTACCGCCACCAGTGGCTGTGGTGACCACGGTCGCACACCCTATGTCTCCAGCCTACAGCCTGATCCTGGTTGGGTCTTTAGAGGCCCTCTTCCAAGGGACCCGCTCCTCACTCCACGCAAGAGCATGGTCTCAAAGGTCCTAGGAGTAACTTATAGACACTGCTAGCAAAGGGCCTGAATGAGGCCCGGCTGAAAGTGCAAAGGGCATTTAAGGGGTCTGTGCACTGAAGGGCCTCCTGGACCAAATCTCCTGCCACAGTCAGCCAACATCCTCCATGAGCTCCTCTCACTTAACTCCAATCTAGGCAGCTACACCCACCTTCTCCACTCAGGGTCAGGGCAGCGGCTTGCTTCTGCCGAAGACCAGAAAACCTAACCTTCAGCCTCCCCACTACAGCCTCCTCAACTGTCCCCTCTGGGAACCTCAGTGTTACAGCATGGCTTCC